CAAAGCAAGAGCTTCGGCGACAAAGACATACAACAAAAGTGAGAGGGGGTCTCCTTGACTGACTCCCCTTTCGGTTGGAAAAGCGGCTGACAAGAATCCGCAATTCAGAACAGATGCCGAAATTTCTGAATACAGGGTGTTAATAAAAGATATAAAATTTTCTCCGAGGTTGAATTTTTGGAGAATCTGCAGCAGGAACGCGCGATCGACTTTGTCAAACGCCTTTTCTTGATCTATTGACAAAATGAAACTAGGTAGATTTTTAATTTCGGCGTAATCTATTAGATCACGGACTAGGTGTAAATTTGAGAAAATTGTTCTACCTGGAATTCCGCAAGTTTGATTTGGTTCTATAATTTTCCCTATTACTTTTGACATTCATAAAAATACCTTTTGACATTCATAAATATACCTTCTTTTTTTTTATTTTTATAATTTAAAAAAAGGAAAGATAATATCAAAACCATTTTTTATTTTGTCAAACGATACCATTTTTAAAACTTTTTGCAACAAATTTAAAAATATATACTAATCCGCAACTACATTGGCCGAATATTGGCAAGGTCAAATGTTGGCCCAACGTAGTACGATAATTGCAAAAAATCGATTTGTAGAATTGCAATATTACGCCGCAAAAAAAGCATTGGCTAAATGTTGGCCCAATATAGTACGATATTTGCAAAAAACCGATTTGCAGAATTAAAAATAATACGCCAAAAAAAAACATTGGCTAAATGTTGGCCCAACGGAATAAACTTGCCAATGTTAAAACTTACGTTGGGCCAATGTAAGCTTGCTGTCTGGGCAATGTTTATAATAATGTCTGGACATTATTATAAACATTATATTATAAACATTAAATAATTATTAAAACTATTGAAGGTAAGGTAAAAATTATTGAAGGTAAAGGTAACTTATAACTAAAAATATAAACATTAAATAATTATTAAAATTATTGAATGAAACAAAGAATAATTCGAATTTATAAAATAATATATATTATTTTATAAATTCGAATTATTTTTTGTTTCATTCAATAATTTTAATAATTATTTAATGTTTATATTTTTAGTTATAAGTTACCTTTACCTTCAATAATTTTTACCTTACCTTCAATAGTTTTAATAACTATTTAATGTTTATATCATTAGTTATAAGTTACCTTTAGGTAGATGTTGAATCAACTGAAGTCTCAAATATTGATAATCAGTCTGATAAAGTTTCATGGTTGTCATGTGCTGGCCAATTTGAAAACATAATCTCGAATTTAGTTGAATGCAAAGTAATATTAAAAAAAATGAAAACAGATCCTAGTCCTAATCCAATAGTGTTCCGTTTAGAAAGTCGGCAAATTATTAATAATATTTATTCAAAGTGTGAACTATTTTTAAAAACATCTTGTGTTATTTCAAACAACATTTCTAAGTATTGTAAAGAGATACCAGATCACGGATCTAACCATTCTATTGAACATGATCCAGGTAAAAGAGGTGTAATTAAGACATTTTCTCAAAGACAGCATCTTTTAGCATTAGATCCGTATTAGCCAAAACTAATGTAGTATCCAATTAATAGTAAAATAGATAAATCAAAACAACAATGTTTTAAACCTTCCTGGTTTAACAAGTATCCAAAATTGGAGTATAGTTTAACTACAGATTCTGTGTATTGCTTTATTTGTTCTTTATTTCCTAAAGAAGCAGGAAGAGAGTTTTCTAGTAATGCTTGGGTATGTGATGGTGTTAAAACATGGCACAAAATGAAAAGTAGGGGTAAGTCCAAATTGGATAAATTGGAGCAACAGTTCACATCTTTATCCCACAAAGCTTCTTTAACAGATTACTTCAGTTTTATGAAGATTTTTATTTCACTGATGTAATCTTAAATAGATCTACAAGACAAAATTTGATCAAACTGAAGCATGAAAAAGACTTTAACAGACAAATTGTCATAATTTTGTTTGATGTTGTACGAACACTATCAAGACAAGGGTTAGCATTTTGTGGAAACAACGACAAACCAAATGGTAATTTTAATCAAACTATTCAATTAATTTCGAGACACAATCCATTGATGAAGCAGTGGGTCAACAATATTAAAATGCGTTCTTATAAGGTTTCTTATCTCGGTCCTCGCTCTTAAAATGAAATGGTTGAAATATTGGGTAGTGAAGTTAAAAAATTTATTGTAAAAGAAATTGAAGAGGCTAGTTTATTTTTGCTAATGGTTGATACAACCCCAAATGTATTACACAAAGATCAGTTAGCGGTTTGTGTGCGCTACGTCAACATTGAAAGAAAAACTGTTGAAAGACTACTTGAATTAAAAGAACGAGTAGATAAAACTGGACTTGGTACCGCAGAACACATTTTTAAAGTATTAAACAAGAGTGCTATAAACACAGGAAATTTAGAGTTTCAGTCGTATGACTTTGCTAGCAATATGTCTGGGGAAGTAAATGGTGCCCAATCCCAACTCTCTCAATTAGTAGGACATAAAGTTTTATACATTCTATGCTAAGCCCATAAAATAAATACATTTCTTGAACATGGTTGCAATTATAACATTGCTGTATCGAGTATGATTGATAATTTAGAGAGTTTACATGTATTTTTTTCATCTAGTACTAAGCGTTAAGGAATATTGAATAATGAAATGAATAGTATAGAAAGTAATTTACATTTAAAAAACTTATCTAAAACAAGATGGACTGCAAGAGCTGAATCGATCAAATCAGTTTGGAACTCTTTTGATGTTTTGTGCAGTAGTTTAATTAATATATGTTCAAATCCTTTATTCGATTCAAACACCAGAACAAAAGCACTTGATTTAAAAAAAATATATAATGTATAAACTAAAAGCCTCAACTGAAACACTGGAAAAAAAAATTATGTATCATTGATGCCACTAATCTAATTGATATTACTTTACAAAATTTAGAAGATATTAATTCAAATAACGAAGCTATGGATAACTTAATTGACAGTGAAGTATCATTTGCTCGTATTCTTGGAATTAATCCGGAGGCTTATTTTAATCTGCAGCACCGACTCAGAAAGCTTTCGCAGTGGCTTGACTCGAATTCGAATACGCAAGTAGTTTTTAATATGCACACATTTTACTGTGAAGAATTTAAATGTGTTTTATCTACGATAATCTCATTATCTAAAGATAACTTAAAAAATAGTTTTAATTCATTTAAACCGTTATTTCAAATGCTGTCGTTTCCTTTAAAAAAAGAAAACATTTCAATCAATAATATTAAAGAAACTTTATTATTATTTCCAGCAAATATCAAAGAACTAAAATGTATAGACATTGATGCCATTCAAGCAGAAATGGATAAATTAATTGGGATTTGTAGAAACAATTATTCAAGTAAATTTGAAAACGTTATGAAGACATCTGAAAAAAGGAGAAATGTTTTACCAATGGGCAAATCGAATTTGTAGATTAGCATTAACCGCACCAATAAGTGTAGCAACAAACGAAAGAAGCTTCAGCAAACTTCGTATTGTTAAAAATTATTTAAGATCAAAAACAAACGATATTAGATTGAATTTCCTAATGCTTTTGAGTATAGAGAAGGATATTTGTTGATCGCCTAAATCTTACTGATATATATATCAGTAAGATTTAGGTTTTGTGCCCACAGTCACAGTGCCCATATATGGGCACTGTGAGAAACATTAAAAAACCGCAGAGTATAACTCTAAAACTATGAAATCAAAAATGTATATATTTCATATATATACAATAAAAAAAATTATATAAGTCGGCATTTTTACTGGTTACAAAAATTTTAATCGGCAATTTATTGATTTAAACCCCCCCCCCCCCCCAAGTTTTTATCTTCGGAACGTCCCTGGTTGGGTCAAGGTAGGGAAATGAACTTTCTTATGGTTTTTTAGTGACGTTAGAATGATCATATTCTTGCATTTCGCTCATCTTCTGTAAATGAGAGTAATAATATAAACTGAAAAATATTTTTAAGTAAATTTCAAATCAGGTTTGCTTTATTGTTATTATTGACTTTTAGCTATTAAAATTAAGTTAAATTAAGTTACTCCTGTTTAATGTTTATTTTGTTTTTCTTTTAAAAAATTACATAAGTATTTTTATTAACTAATAATTATTAACTAAGTAGAAAGAACTAAGCGTAAAGAATTACGATTTGCCTCGTTAACGTTTTTTAACGCGAGCAGTTGCTCGCGTTAAAAAACGTTAACGAGGCAAAACATTTAATTTTTTTATGTAATCCTAGACGAGTAGTTAATGGATTTGTTTTTGAATCCGCGATTCGGCGCGTTACACTTTTAAAAAGTTATAAGGAAGTTTGATAGGATTTTGAAAAATGTTGTGTGATATTCTTCACGACTTAAGTTGCCATTAAAACACAATGCATAAAAAATTATATCAAAAGCTTTTGTAGTTTTCAAGCAAAATGTAAATGAATATTGCTCATTTTCTTGCTTTTTTACAAGGAAATTTATTTTACTAGTTAAATATTGATTTTAATTGTTAAATTAACATAGTTTATTTCAGTTTAAAAAATTTTAATTGTTAAATTAACAAAAATTTTGTATTTCGTTATTAATATTGTTTAGTTATTAAAGTGCACATTAAAAAAAAAATAATGAAGACTATTGAAAAAATATATTTTGAAATATAAAAGAATAAAAACCTTAGGTTAAACAAAAATATGCGCAACATTTCTGTTCAAATAGATTTTAAAGCTAAGCGCAAGTGACGAAACCGCTCCGTTATCATTAGTTAATTGCGAAATATTATTCTATAGATATTTAAAAAAACAAAATTTTTAAAAATGTTTTTAAACTTTTTATAAATATATTTAATAGGCGCAATTAAAGAGGCGAAACAAAAACAAAGTAAATCTTTAATCACCCCCCCCCCACACCCAAGTCCCACTTGTGTACGTCCATGACTCGTGGCAATTGACTACTTACAGTTGGTTACAGTAAATTCATAAAACACGACTGTTAATGGTAAATGTACTTAATACTACCAAAAATTACTCGTTAATAACGTAAAAATCAAAGAGGTTTTCCTTTGAATATTTAACATAATTGCGTATGTCATGATTGTAAAAGCGTAGTTCTTTTAAATAGCGCTGGTACAATTGATATAACAAATAAATTTATCATTGTATAATAAATATAAATTAATCAAAAATATTTTTTTTCTTTTGCTTATTTTTAATATAAGTGAAACCTAAGATTTTAAGTTTCGGTTTCTTCTTTTTATGTTTCAAAAAATATAAATTTAGATTTCTTTTCTGTATTCCTTCTATTACATTTAGCTTTTATAAGTTTTTTACATGCTTTTTTTCGATTCAGCAAGTCAAATCTCCAAGTAGGATTTACCTTCAAAACAAGCCTATAAACTTACGGTTTGTCTAAATAACTAAAAATATAATCGTTCTTTAAAACCCAAAATGGATAGTTTAACAAACCTCGGATGAGAACAACTTGGTTTGTCGTTTTTGTCAACTAATCGAACTTAAAATTTATTTTGGTTCGAAGAAACATGCATAGATCAGAATATTTTAAGTAAGAAACTGTAGTTACAAAAGCAACCAAAGCATGTAGCATCTAATTGTAATCTTACAAGTTTCGTCTTTGATCTGCAATACTTGTTTAAGGTACTTATTTATGCTTAAACTCGAAGCACTAAAATTTTTGAAAAAATTACTTCACTATACTTTTTTTTTCATTTACGGCAAGTAAATACGTTTTTTCTTTATTTTTTCATTTTTAAGATTCCAATCAACATAAGAATAATAACGATAAACAACATTCCAAATGTAACCAGACGAATCAATTGATTACTATTTAACAAATGTCTTATACGAGAGCTACCTGCAGAAGATTCAGATTCGTTATCTTCTTCATTTCTTTCAATTTCCTAAACATATATAAAATTCTTTTATTTTCCTAAACATTTATAAAATACCTTTAAATGACATTGAAGTCCTTTTTTAATAAAAAGCGTTTTTTATGTATATATAAATATATATGTATAAATAAATAAATATATATATATATATATATATATAAATATATATATATATATATATATATATATATATATATATATATACACACGTATATATAAATACATATGTATATATATATGTATATATAAATACATATGTATATATAAATACATTTGTATATATAAATACATATGTATATATATATGTATATATATATGTATATATATATGTATATATAAATACATATGTATATATATATGTATATATAAATACATATGTATATATATATATATATATATATATATATATATATATATATATATATATATATATATTATTTTAAAACATCAAAAATACGATTTCTCTCAACACTTATAATTTTTTATTATTATAGAAATTTTCGCTGGATTTTAGATACCAGCTTCTTCAGCTTGTTAAATGTTACAGTAATTAATAACATCGTTATAATTTAAATTAAAACGTTGCTATTGACGTCAGCGGTTGAATGGCTTCTTTTTCGCTGAAATTTAAAAAAAAAAGTAGTAAGTCTTACTTGCAAAATGAAATAAATTTTCTAATCGACGTGTTTATTGAAAATGGTTACGATAAAACTCAAATGATGAATATTGCGCATCAGTTTCAACACAAAAGACAAAATAAAATTACAATTCCATCTGAAATCAATAATTATCCTGTAGTTTCCTTACCATGGGTACCCGGTCTCTCGCCAAAACTTAGGAAAATAGAGAAAACAGAGCGGTATTCAAATCAAACCCAAACTTAAGATCCCTGCTAGCATCAAAAAATAAATCAAAACTACCTAATAACAGTCAACCGGGAACATATTTAATCAAATGCAACTGTTCAAAAGTGTATGTAGGCGAAACAAAAATGAAAGTAAACACACGAATGCATCAACACCAAAAAAGCATTGATGAAAATAAGCAGCATCAATCCGCATTAGCTCTGCATAAAACATCTTGCAAAAAAGAAATTATTTGAAAGAAAATATTTTTAATCTATTCATCCAGTAGCACATTTATTTTTAAAATTATCAAATGATAATGTCAAAACTAAACTAATTAACAAAGGCGTCGAATCAAGCAACGCGCACGATAATACTCAACATGAAAGCAGTGCAAATGAAAGAATAGCAAAATGTGGAACTTTTGATATGAGAAAAAAAAATTGCAGAAAAGTTTTTGGAATTGTTACAAAATACAATATTGCGGTAGAAAACATTGACCTAACTCTATTTCCTAAAAGAATCCATAGAGTTAAAGGGAATGGAAACTACTTTTTTTAAAATAGTTTCTTTTATCATAACTGGATATGAAGATAAACATTAGCCAATAAGAAACAATGTTGTTAACGATATGTGTAACAAAATACAGGTTGAAATAACTGGATATTTAAGTAATTTGAAGATGATTGAGATAATTGGATGCGCTTCGTTTATGGAGGTAGATATCCAAGTATACAGCAAATAAGGAGCAAAAACAAAATGGATGACCTAACCATGCAGTTTACGGCTTACTAAGTTGATTATTCTATATCTCTAGACAACTCAATTGGGGAACCCACTTTGATAATGTGATTACCACTTGAAAATTTTTCATATTTAAAACTCGTGAGATAAATAAGTTAATAAATACATTAGGTATTTATTTACTTATTTATCTCACGAATTTTAAATATTGTTGTTTAATTTTATCTACCTCCATAAATGTAACTCACCTTGTGATATTTTTTGTCAGTTCCCTGAGATTTTAAAAGGTGCCGTATCTGTTTTTTGCTGACTAAGGCCAAGAAAAGCTATTTTTGACGACTAAAATCTCAAAAAAAAAAGAAGGTCTTTGTTTGCTGACATTTCCCGACTGCTAACTATAAATCCAATTATGCTGACTTTTTATTATACCCCTTACACCCTCCTTGGGACGCTTCTGGTTGCATCTTCAAGCAGTTTATTATCACAAATATAATGCATTTTAATAAATAAATCTTGATGCAAAATTTAAATACCTAATTATTTCCTCGTGTCCTCTTATTGCGCATACGGTTAGTGTACTTTATCAAAACTGACATGTGTTCATCTACATTGTCAGTTTGATAAAAAGGAATGAGGTTTTTTTTTTGTTTTTTTTTTTTGTGTAATTTATTTCGCCGTTAAAAAATGTTTACATCACATATACATTTATCGAAATTTTGCCTTATCGCCGAGCCCCTCATATATAAAAAAAAATTATACATAACCGTAACATACACAATTTATAAAGACAAATCAGAATTAAAACAGAAAATAACTAAGAAATTAAAGAAGTTTAAAATAGCAAATAATTAAGAAGTGCTAAATGCTTACAACCGCTAAAATGTATAAGAACACTTGACAAAATTTTTTTGTAATAAAACAATAATGTAAAATTTCATAATTAACATAAACACTTAATGAATTTTGAACATCATCACTTAAATTTCATTGGTATAAATAAATCTGTTTTGAGCTTACTTTAAAAGAAATATTTTAAGTCGGAAAAACTGAATTCCCTAAACAGTAATAATTTTTTTAATTCATTCTTGAATTGCTCTAAGGTAGCCTTGTTTTTGTTAACAATATCTGGGAATATTTTCCACAGATAAGGTCCACGGTATTTAACTGAATAGGAGGTTAATTTTAGAATATATATTTGAGTAGGACAAAGTTGTTATTTGAAAACTTAGTTGAATACTTTTGATTAATTTTATTAAAATAGATTTAAAAGATTTTTGGGGACAATCCCAATTTTTTTTAAACATAAACAATAAAACTTGGTGTAAATCGAGTTTATACACATTTAAAGCACCGAGCGCACGTAAAAGTGGTTCGCAAGGATTATTTCTACAGGCTCCAAACACTATTCTGCACGCATGTTTTTGTTTATTGTAAATTTTCTTAAGTTTTGTATAGCCAGTACTAGCTCACACAATATTACAGTAAGAATAATAACTGTGAATAAAAGCAAAATATAATTATTTCAGGGATGTTACATTTAGAAAAGGTTTAGCCTTTACCATCATTGCAATATTCTTTGAGAGTGTCGTTTCAATACTGTTTATATGTGCACGCTACAGCAAATTTTCATCCAGTTTTACTCCTAAAAAGTTTACATATGTTTTCTTTTTTAATATGAGTATTATTAGTTATAAGATTTGATAGTTAAGGAGGAATGTTTCCTGATTTATTTAGTTTATGGAAAAGTATATATCTTGTTTTATCCACATTTACTGAAAGTTTGCTACTTACAAACAATTCATTAACTTTACATAACTGTCCATTTACTATTTTAAAAAGTATTTTAATATCTCAATGAGAACAAAATAGATTGGAATCATCAGCAAACAAAATTAGGTCTAAAAGATTTGTTGCTAAGTATAAATCGTTTATGTACAAAAGAAATAAGAGTGGTCCTAAAAGAGAGCCCTGTTGAACCCCGCAAGTTATGGAATATGGAATTGTGTTATTTTGATCGTAGTACAAAAATTGCTTTCGGTTTGTCAAATACTCTTTGAACCAAAGAGTGTTTTTCACTCCGTAGTTTTCAAGTTTTTTTATTAGTATATTAAAGTATGTATGAAGAAGTATGTCTGAAGAAGCAGTTTAATAGTTTTTCATATATTTTTTTATATATAAGTTCGATAGATTCTCAAACAAAGAGTTAGATTAATTGGTCTAACATCGACATTTTGTTTATTAATAATGCCTAACATTTTGTCAATTCATTTTGTCAAAATTTTTTAAAATAAAGTTCATATTAAATAGAATCGCTTCTTTGCTGCTTTTCCAAAGCCACAACATTTAAAACATTAAAAAATATTGTTAAAACAAATCAAAGTTGTAAAATGCATTTTGCCGCATAATATTTTATGGGAGTAAAAATCTCATAATGAGAGGAAAAATTTAATATGAGTTTTTTTACTGGGGGTAAAAAAAAACGCAGGAGTAAAGATCTCATACTACACCAGCTGGATCCTGCATATTTTTATAATCTCAACACAAATCTTGAATTATGGTAAATAAATGTTAACGCAAAAAAATATTGTAAATCTTTTAAGTTGTGTACCTTTATAAGAACAAACTGAGTAGTGAATGCAAAGTTAAAATTTTAAAAACATTTAAAACTTTGAGTGAGCGTGCGTTTAATTATATAATTTCTGAAATATGATTAAAGACAAACTTTAAAAGCATTTTTTTACAAATATTTTTTAAAATAAATAATAATGTTTTACCTGTTCCAGAACAACATGCCCATGCTGCAATGGTTTGCCTGTTACCACCTCGTATCTAGGTGGCTCGTCATTTAAAGAGTCTAGACTTTTATAAGTTGGAAGTGCCTTAATGGAGGAATTTGTATTGCTAGAATTTTCTTTGACGTCTTTAAATTTGACTTTCCGCGTTGATTTAGTTCTAATAAAATTCATTAATCCTGTTCCTTTTTGGTGCTTTTCTTCAACAGGTAAGTTTTCTTTGTTATTATGTTCTGTGTAAACATATCCTGTAACACATATCACTAATTCTTTATTGTCTACAGGAGAAATTGCTTCGTTAATGCTTTCATCTGCACTTATAGCAGTATCTGCCATATTATCATAATCAACTTTGCCTATATGTTTCAGTTTGACTATTGCAGTTAATAAATTGGATATTATTACATTTATTCATAAAAACCAAATTGTAAAATAAATCCTATATATAGGTTCATGTACTTTAAATTTTTATTCGGCTAATTACCGATTTATAACGATTGAGTGATTCGTTTCAATAGCAAATAATCTTTTTAAATAGTTTGCGGTAATTAGTTTTGTAATGCAGTAACAAAGGTAATAAAGTAACAAAGCATTTGATAGCAGTAATAAGTATTTACCAGTAATAAAGCATTTTTTAGCGAATTAGGCCGTAAATTATTTTGGTTTAACTCGTTTAATTTAAGTTTAATGTCTTAAAAAACAACATATTTTAATTTTTAAATAATAGTTGTTGAAAATATTTTTTTGCTTAATTCAGTATTATTTAACTACGAGCAGTTTCTTTGAGGTTATACCCACGCTTGTAAAAGGTTCTGATGAAAAGATCATTACGATATTTTTTCAGGAACCGTTCTTTAGTTTGTGAAAGCAATTTTTATAATTAACTGTTTATATTTGATCAGTGAAAAAACTTCGGTAATCGAAGGTAAATAAAAATAGTTCTTGCTAACTTTAACTTGCTAAACTTTGAACAAAAAAAAATTAAATCAACTTTTAACGGAAAAAATAATATTTAAAAAATAAGTTTTGAATAAATAGTAATAACAATCTCTTGAATAAATAGTAATAACAATAAAAGAGAAAAAATACAAAAAAAAAAAGTTTGCCAAAAAAAAAAAATTAAAACCAAAGTTTTTATTCAAATACTTACTTTGGTATTTTTGACGGCATAAATTGCATTATATGCGCAGGTAAAGTTCGACAAAAATGCCACAAATGAGTATTCGAGATCACGGCGGTTACTTTTTACAATGTTCTCCCACTTGCTAAGTTTTATGAGATTTTAAAAAATTATTCCGTTACGGACGTAACGAAAACATTTTTATCAAAGTTTAAAAAATTATAGAAAAGTAGGACCATGCAAATTACTAAGCGTAATTTTTGGTACTTCTTTTTGCTAAACTGTTCTAAAGGAAGATTATAAAAAGTCATTTTCTTTTGAAAAAGTTGATGTTTGCACACTCCCAATATAACTTTGTATACACAAATCTAATTGGTTTGTATAAAAAGAAAACTCTTACGAAAATTAAATATACGGCATGGGCTAAATATGTCTGGCTAAATAGGTCTGGTTTAGGGTTGGGTTGCACTTGAGGGAAAACTCAAATATAAATATTATGTTTATAGTACACTATATATACAAGTGCTATATGAATCAAACAAAAACAAAAAAAACCATACATACATATATATATATATATATATATATATATATATATATATATATATATATATATATATATATATATATATATATATATATATATATATATATATATATATATATATATATATATATATATATATATATATATTTAATAATAAAAAGTTAAAGTAGAAATTAAAATCTAATATTCTGAAAAAAACTATTACATCTAAATTCGATTTTATATGATCTCTATAATTACTTATTCGTTACTTAGACAAAATTTCCTTCGTTTTGGAGCAACTGATGCAATTGTTCTTTACCAAATACAAATTTGATTGGTTAAAGAAGAAATATTTTAGGCTTTAGGGTAAAGCGGCCTAAATCTGGCCGCGTCCTTATTCTGGCCGATTTTCAGAAGCACTAAAATATTTGATGGAGGATGGAATTGGTCTGTTTTAAATAAAAAATATATTAATTTAACCTTTTAATTTTGAAATATGTACTTTAAATTCTTATATCGACTTGCTAATACTTCAGTAACATTTTAAAAGCATTTCATAAGTTTTATGTTTCCGTAAGCTCGATGTTTGCAATTTTCAAACTTGTAATGATTACATTCAAATGTAATGCGTTTGTAAATCGCTTGAACTGAAAGTAATATTGGCATATAATTTTGTTAAAACTGTATAAGTATTTATGCGTATTTTGTATATTGTTAAATAATTCTTTTTTATTTGAAAATTTATATGTACAATATTAAAGTATAATTTTTAGCGATTGTCCTATATCTGGCCAATGATTAGTCTCAATTCTGGCCATATATATGTACAATAACTTTATATAATTTTTATTTAATTTATATATATATATATATATATATATATACATATATATATATATATATATATATATATATATATATATATATATATATACATATATATATATATATATATATATATATATATATATATATATATATATATATATATATATATATATATATATATATATATATATATATATATATATATATATATATATATGTATATATATATACGGAATAATATGTATATATATATATACGGAAGCAATTGGCAGAGTTCTAAATCATTACTATATAATGCTATTAAAAGTAGGCGACTGTTTTAATTCTTTGCAAGAATTAGAACAAAAAGTTTCATCCTATGAAATTGAATCATGTGTTTCTCTTTATAAGAGAGAAAGTAGGACGATTGAGTCAGCTAGGAAAAGAGGAATTAAGAGGTTTATTAAAGAAAGTTTAATGTTTTATACAATACATTATGCATGTTACCATGGTGGAAAGAATTTTAGTAGTAAATCAACTGGAAAACGCCCAAATCAAAGGTGATTCAATACGCTAACTATTAACATAATTGAAAATTAACTAAGATTTTATTTAAAAGAGGTATTTCTGCTCTAGTTACTGTACTGTAGTTTGGTACACACAGTCTGTGTGTTTGTTTTTGCTGTTAAAAAAAATTAGCCTAAAAATTTAGATTTTAAAACTGAACCTTGGAACTGAACTTGATTGATAGTCTATAAAATTTTAAAAAATGACATTGATGGACAAGTTATAACAATAGTTTCTATTGAATAACGGCTATTTGTTTCTCTGGTTCATTTAGCTCTAATAGAGCTAAATGTAAAGCTCTATTTAGCTCTAAATGTAAAGCTCATTTAGCTCTAATAGAGCTAAAAATAAATAATCTCATAGAGCCTCTATGAGATTAAAAGTAACCTTTCTTTAATAAAACATTGACATTTATTTTGTTAGATTTAGTACTTCATAAATTTTTTTTTGGTATAAATAATTTTTTACAATGGTACATGTGAATGAGACCTTTCAAATAAAAATGTTGAGAAAACTCATTTATATTTAGCATCTGAGCTAAATGTCAAATGTTAACACTTTGTAACAGGGCTGTCTTAACACTAGTAATGGCGTATATTTATATATATTATATTGTATGTGTGTATATATATATATATATATATATATATATATATATATATATACATATATATATATATATACATATATATATATATATATATATATATATATATATAATATATATATATATATATATATATATATATATATATATATATATATATATATATATATATATATATATATATATATACAGCGCTCGAAATAATGGCCAATCGATGATTGGCTATTTTTAGAGAAATTTCGAAAAATTCAAGGGAAAATAACCTGTTTTTGTGAAAAAATTACATTTGATTGGCAAGCTTTGAAAAACTATTTTGAGTGCTGTATATATATACAGTATATATATTGTGTATATGTATATGTATATTTATTATATATATATTATATGTATATTTATCAGCACATTCCAGATGAACTGTACATTTGGAATTTGGTTTAAAGTGACTGATGGTGGAATGCAGTTTTGTGTTGACAAGATGATGTTAGAGCATAACCATGACATTGATCGAGTAAATATATTTGATACTTTGTTTTTTATCTATCCTTTATTTTCCTAAAAAATATAGCCAATAATATATATATATATATATATATATATATATATATATATATATATATATATATATATATATATATATATATATATATATATATATATATATATTTATATAATTTAATAAATTATAATTAAAATTATATATATAAATTAAATATATAATTTAATAAATTATAATTAAAAAATAAAACGTTAAACAAATTGAAATAGCTTTACATAGCAGAATTTTATTTTGTTGCTTTGCAGTATTAGTTGTATAGCTATAAAAGAATTATAAATAAAATTGCATAAGTTTTATTAATTAGATAAATGATATATATATATATATATATATATATATATATATATATATATATATATATATATATATATATATATATATATATATATATATATATATATATATATATCATTTATCTAATTAATAAAACTTATGCAATTTTATGTATAATTCTTTTATAGCTATACTACTAATACTGTAAAGCAACAAAATAAAATTCTGCTATGTAAAGCTATTTCAATTTGTTTAACGTTTTATTTTTTAGGAGTTTTTTAACAACCTCCCAAAAAGAAGAAAACTAACTGCAGAAGAAGAGCAAGATGTTTCAAGAATTTTAACTATGCATGGAAACAAGTGGCTAATAAAAGATCAAATACTAAAAGAAACAGGTTTAAAAAAGCTAGTAATTCTACAAAAATATTTTTAGATTGTTTGTTCTATATTTGATCATGTATACTCAATGTATATTATTATATTATATCTATAATTTCAGTTTAATTCATTTTTCTACATTAGTGCAAGTATACTGATTAAAAAAGCTTTTTTAAGGAAAAAAAGTCACTTTGAGAGATCTTCATAATTTAGCTGCTAAGCAAAAAAGTACTAATGACATGGATTCTCTTTTAGCAGTTTTTAGTGAATGTAATGGTAAGTATATATAAATAATAAAAATATAAATGTTTTAAAAAGATTTTTTCAACCACGTCAAGTTTATAATGTTTTTAAATAAAATTTTAGTGAGTAATGTTAGGAACTCAAATTGTCATTTATCCTTAATGGTAAATTAATTAATGATTATTTTTAATTCACAACAGGACCGGATCTTGAAATTAAAGCAGATGAAAGCGGAGTATTAAATGGCATTTTTTATCAAGATGCTGAAATGAAGAGGTTCTTTGATCAATATCCTGAATTAGTTTTAATGGATACAACTTACAAACTGACCAATTTGAGAATGCCACTCTATATAATGCTTGTTGTTGGACCATATGGTGAGAGTGAGATTGTAGCAATATTTCTAACAGCAACTGAAGACTCAGTAACACTTAGTGCTATGCTAGATATTTTTAAAAAAAAAAATCCAAACTGGAATTTAATTTCAACTGTTTTTACAGATAAAGATTTGACGGAAAGGGAGAATATTCGCCAAGCCTTTCCGCAAGTCGCTCTCTTGTTGTGCATTTTTCATGTACTCAGATGTATGAGTAGGGAAATAACTACAAAAAAAATGAATATTTCAGAAGAACAAAGATTGAGTGCACTAAAAATGATTCAGAAAATGACTTATGCATCATCCGAGGAAAAATATGAAAGCATTCGCAATGAATTTCACAAAGTTATGCCGGGAACAGTTGTTAAATATTTTGAGGCTAATTGGCATGGTTGCAGATATGAATGGGTGCATTGTTGGCAACAACAAAATGTAACATATGGAGAAAAGACTACTAATCGTTTAGAGTCAATCAATCATCGAATCAAAGCTGTTGTTACCCTACTAAGTCCTTTGCCAGTCTTTTTCAAAGATTTTCTTGCTGTTATTACATGCATGCGTCACGAAAGAGATCAACACTATATAAATTCAACTGAGCGTGTTCCAGTTAGTATAAGCCACCTTAATGCAACTGAGCGTCTTTATTATGAGCTACTTACTCCATTTGCATTTTCTTATGTCAAACAACAGCTAGATGATTCAATCAGTTTAAAAGGGCATTTGGAAAATGGAATTTTGCAAATGGATATATGTGGTAATACAGAAACACTTCATGAAGACAGTTGCATTTGTTCTTTTTTTAAATCTATGGGTTTGCCATGCAAACACATGTTAGCTGCCAGAAGAATTAAAGAAACATCTGTTTTTTCTGAACTCGGTGTTGCTTCAAGATGGTGTAAACAACAGGTTTTTTTTAGTCTTTTATTTATTCACAAAGGCTACTAAAACTAACTTGAATAATATTATTAATAATAATATAAAATATTGATAATATTATATTATATATTATTTAATATTATTTAAAATATTAAATAATAATATAATAATATATAAATTTTTCTAAATGTAGTTGTATCAAAAGCATAGAATTTTCCAATCACCTGCTCTTCAAGAGAGTCATGTGGCTGTGTCATTGCTTAAGGACAGACCCTTAACGAATGCAGAAAAGTTTTGTCGTGGTAATCGTCTTCTTCAGCGTTTAGCAGAATTAGTTGCTGATGGGGGTATGTCACAATATGGTAGCAGAATGAAACTTCTTGAAGACTTAACCAACATCTGGAGTGCCAATCGTGAAGCCAGAGTTATTGCAGTTGATTTTAATTATGATGAAAGGACTTCTTCTACAAAAGAAGTAGTTAACATTCCTGCAGCTGAAAAACTACTTAATGACATTGATTTCACAAAAGTAGATACTTTAATATCCAAAGTAGATAGCGTAGATAGAGTAAGAAATTTTTTTAATGATGTTTAGTTTGCTTTATTAATAGGTATTGCAAAAACTGTTTGTTTTTTTATTTTCTACTCAAGCTACTTATATTTGCATTTTTTTCTCAGTCATCTTTATTAATAAATCAAGTCAGGGAAGAATTTAATGAAAATACTAATCAAGTCATGACTACTCAGTTGGAAAAAGAATTTAATGAAAATACTCAAGTCATGACTACTCAGTTGGAAAACGGAAACGGTTTGAATATTTGAAACTTATAATTAAATTTATATATATATATATATATATATATATATATATATATATATAGTATATATATATATATATATATATATATATATATATATATATATATATTATATATATGTATATACATATATATATACATTTTTTTTTTGTTAACTCTAAATGTTTTAATTACTAATTTATTATATAGATCATCCTAAAAACAATACTTTAGAAGTTCCTTCAACTTCAAATGAAGTAAATATTAAAAAACTAAAATTTCCCTCAGCAGTTTTATGTCGTGGAAGGCCAAAATTAAAAGTAAAAAAAAATGCGATTGGCCTGCGCATTCTGCAAAAAAATCATTGTGTACCATTTCAAATGAAGTCGATTCCAGAAAAAGTGGAAAGTAAGTATACCTTATCTTTTTGAATGACATTTGACAAGAAAAAAAATATATATATATTTATATATGTATATATATATATATATATATATATATATATATATATATATATATATATATACACACACACACACACACACACACACACACACACACACACACACACACACACACACACACACACACACACACACACACACACACACACACACACACACACGTGTTAGTGTTTGTGTGTATATATTTATATATATATATATATACACACACCCACACAGTGTTAGTGTTTGTGTGTGTGTATATATATTTATATATATATATATATATATATATATATATATATATATATATATATATATATATATATATATATATATATATATATATATATATATATATATATATATATATATATATATATACACACACACACAAACATAACACTGGTATATATATATATTTTTTTCTTTGTCAAATATCCAATTTTATTCAAAAAACAAAAGTAATTGTTTTCCGTTTGATGTGGGTATTCTCTGTGATCAATAAAACACATAAAGTTTAATTTATTTTCAAAATTTGAAGACCCAAAGAACTCAAGTTTTTTGCCACAATAATGATGTATTTGATGTAAATAATGGTGTATAACAGGTATTTGGTAAAGCTGCTTTTTTTTATAAAAATTGATACATTTTAATATTATTTGCATTTTTTTTCATTTTTTTTTTCTTTTCTTTAGTTTTACCTTTGCTAGCATTTTGACTTCGTCTACTGTTGAAATATGGTTTTAATTTTGGTATAGTTTCATGATTTGAAACTTACTATATTAACCATCAGCCAACAGTTTGGTAAAAAAATATAAAAATAGACAATTAAGGTAAGAATAATTTTGTTTACTGACAAAACTAGAAATCTGTTTTTAATTATTATAATGTCTAACGGGTTGTGCTATTTTCACATAGTGAAGAAGAAACACCAAAGGGTCTGCTGGTTGTTAAGGTTACTAGGTTATTTCTTGAAAGGTGTTTACTAAAAGCACCACCATTTTTATGGCTATAGAAAATCATTGAACAAATGTTTCTACTCCACCAATTGTATGCTGAGTTGTTAGTCCTTGGCCTTGCCTTAAGGCAAAAAATTAAGGCTTTGCCCTTTTTTTTTGATTTAAAACTGTTGACCTTGGTCTTGGCCGTGAAAATTTTGGCTTTGGCCTTGATTGTTTTGGCCTTCAAAAATAAAATACATAAAATTAAAGAATTTAAAGTTTTCATTCTTTTTTCTTATGTATTTTTGTTTTCGCCTTATATTCGCCTTATATTCGCCAAATATATCTACAAGTATATTTTCTTATTGACTTCGTATAATTTTGGTTTGTTTTTACAACATGTAGTTTAATGTCGCAGCAATTGCTAGCTAGAGTTTAGTTTATAATAAGCCTTAACGTTAGGCAAAAAATTAAGTCTTAGTCTTGAAAATGTTTGCGTAGGCCTCGGCCTTGACCTTAAAACTCTTGGCCTCGGCCTTGTCTTTGGCCTTGTACCTTTTGGCCTTGTAACATGTGGCTTTAGCCTTGCTACCTTTGGGCTTGTTAACAACTCTGGTTGTATGTTCTAAACATCATTTATGTTTAAAACATACAATCATTTATGTTTAATCACATACAAAACATTATCATTTTTAAGCTGATTTAAGTTTTTAGACAAAATTTTAAAGAAGCTTTTCGGTACTTTTTGAGGATTCACCCCCCCCCACCTTCCACATTTTATTCGTAAAATCGCCGCTGGGTGTCACAAGCTATTGTACAAAACACATAAAACATGTTAAATAACGTTGAGACAACCAGAGGCAATTCTACGAATAAAATGAGGGGGGGATGAATCCTTGAAAAGTACCGACTAGTTTCTTTAAAAAAAATATTAAAATAATTATTGTCAATAATTATCTGAGTTCAAACAGTTTATTGTAGATTTTAACATCACAAAGTTATCGTTAGTAATTTTAATGCGAAATTAAGATTGTAAAATATGATATTGTAATTTTTATCTGGTAACGTTAAATAAGGAGCTAAAATAAAATGGTTGTAAAATAAGATAACGTTTTTGAGACTGAAAACATTAAAACAACCAAGAAAGCTTTCCTTATAATCTTAAGTTTGCTGTTTTTACAATTAATCCCAATTGTTTTTTACAATTAAACCCAAAGTTAATCCCAACATAGTTAAACAACTTTTATTACTAAAAAACCACAATATCGAGTGAGTATGAAATTTTTTTTTAATACTATTATATAAATTTGTTCTTTTAGCACGTTTAATTGGATCTAAAAACTGTGCAAACGTTGGTTTATCGCAAAGTATACACACAAAACTTGGAAAACAGTGCCTTTTGATTTTTGCTTTCTCTCTTTCTCAAGATTTTATTGTAGGGGAGGGGTTAAGAGAACGTAATTGTTTAAAATTGAATAAATATTTCTTTATTTTAGTATTACTTGGACGCTTATTAAAAGGAGGGAGGCCAAAAGATATCACGTCTACAACACCTGCAGATGTGCAAGACCTTCATATTGAACCACAAGAACTCCCCTCGTCGGTCACAAACGAAAAAGTTGTTATTGAAATATTAAAACCTTTTCTTACATCTCAAGCTTGGCAAAAACTAAAATCTTCTTTGAAAAAGCGTCAGAAAATGGCTATTTGGAATTGCCCAACATGCAGTTTAAATGCATCTGTAGAAAGTATAGAGTGCGACAGTTGCTTGGAGTGGTATCATTTTAAATGCGTCCAAGTTACTACCAAAATGAAAAGAAATTGGTTTTGTAACAAATGTAAATTGGGTAGTGTATGTCAAAAAAGTTAAGATCGATTGAAAAAAGTGACTAAAAAAAACTTCGGTATTATATAAAGTATCAAATAAAGTACATTTAATCAAGTATATTCAAAGTCGGGGGTAGTGCAAAACCGTGTAACTAGCATTGGCTACTTAATTGCATATTAATAATTTTAACACCAAATATCTTTTGTTGATACATAAATATTAAAATGAAACCAAAATCTGTTGAAATAAAAAAAAAAAAAAAGTTTTTAACTGAATAACTAAATGATAAGTTTATAAAATATAACTAGTATATAAACTTATCATTAAAAAATTCTTTTAATATAATTCAACATTCATTTAATATCTTTAGTAAGGATTCTTTTATTCTTTTTTATAGTTTTAAAGAATATTATTTTATTAACGGGTAGGGTAACCCCTAGAAATATTGTATTATATTATAAAGAATTTTATTAAGATAAGTTTAGATACAATAAACCGATGTTTTAACTTAATTATATAAAAGTTTATCCCAGATGTCAACTTTTAATAAAAACAGTTTTAACCTTTTCTTGTAAAAAAATATTTAGTGCAGATACATGGTGTTATCCAATGCTAGTTACGCAGTTTTGTAATTTTCCCGACGATATGTATAAATAGCGCTTATTGTAGATACAATAAAGTAATTTAAACACATATATTAATATATTTTAAGCATGTATATATACACACACACACACACACATATATATATATATATATATATATATATATATATATATATATATATATATATATATATATATATATATATGAAGTAAATAGAGCTATATTAGATAAGAATATGTATTGTTTAAAATAGTTTGATTCCAAAGTTTTACATTATTTATGTATGAAAGTATTTATAGATAAACTTTAACTACGTTTATAGCTATTTATTCAAGATAAGAAATATTGAAAAAAAAAATTTTTTTTTTACGTAAACTGAGCGTCAGTTTTTTTTTCGTTTTTAATAAGGGATCGCTTGCATACTTTAGTACTTGCATTATTTAGTATAAAGTTTACCCTATAATATACCTTAAAATTTTTTTTTTTGGAAACACGGTGATGCAAGTATGTAAAAAAGTATAAATATCTTTTTAATTTCGAGGAAAGACATTGTTAGTAGAGTTCTAAATTTTTAGTTATAGCTTGTGAACACGAAAGGAACCTATCGTTCCTTCCGTTAAGGGGGAAGCCCCCCCCCCCCCCCCTAAACAGAAGTATTAAACATTTTAAACAAAATCAAGAATATAAAACATCAATATAATATGAACAAACAAAATCCTTGAAAAAAAATACAAAATGGTTTTCGGTTGCCATAGTAACCACAAAAAACACATAAAAATGGGCAAAAAATGCATTCACACCGGCCGTAAAAACTAAATAACCATGCAAAATCTCTTAAAAAGCTTTCACCAAATGCTTTACAAAAGGTCAAAGGGTGTTGTAATAGCGGCATTTTCCTGTAACTAAAAGTCTGAGCGATGCGTGCACATTTAAAGATGGCGAAAATATTTTTTATTCAAAATATTCAAAATAAAAAAATCTAAACCTCAATTTAAAAAACTGTTTCTATTAATAATCATAGAAACAACTCCAGAAAATTTCATCAAAATTGGTAAAACGGTTCTTGAGATAGAATAGCCGGCGTATGAAAAAAGACTAATTTGAGAAAACGCGAAAAGAAAAAAAAAAATTAGCACATAAAACTTTGAAACTTTAAGTAAAACAAATATTATAGTAAAAATATCTCATAAAAAGTATTGGAAACCTCCTGCTTTATACAACTTCACTTCTTTTTCTTTTTCATTATCATTTTTATTATGTTTTTTGCCACAAATAATTTTTTGTTGCAACTTGTTTTTATTAATACTTCTGTATTTGGAATGTGATATATTTGATTATATTTGCACCAATTATCAGCTTCTACTGGGCAATGTGGAAAATGTAGATTATTCTCCTTGTTGGAGGAAACATAATAAAGTGATGCCTGAGTACCAGGTTTTATAGATGCTAAATCTCCTACATTAGCTCTAATTGCAATAACAAAATAACTTTGCAACCGATCAATTGTTGCATCTGTTAATTTACCACTACTACCAAGGTTTTTAGTTTTTTTTTTTAACTTTCATAATCTTGTACCTATACGTTTTATCACATGAAACACCAGTATCAACAATATCAGTATTCAAATCGTGTCTGATTTCTGCAGCAGCATCACACATAGTCTCTATTGGTACTTTTTTCACAACTTTAGAGATTTTTTAGCAAGCTTGTCTTAGTTATTTCTAGTCATTGGTGGAGGAATATTCATAAAGAAGTGAAGTTTTCAAGTCCTGCGTGACCATGACCCAACGACCGCATTGTCTAAATAGCTCGCTTATTTATGTCGTATCCCTGCTTACCACTTTTTTTTATAGTACACAAATTTTTGCAAAATAAACAATTTGAACATTTTAAAACTAAAAAGGAGCAAGTTCATGTTGATCTTTTGAGTTGTCAGACAACACAAGAGAGTCTTCATTGAAGCACATTGGACAAATGAGTTCTTTAAAAATAACAAATAACACTTCTATATCTATAATTCTATATCCAGACAGTAGAGTAGAAGATTCAACTATATCAATTTGTCGTATTTTTGAATGTGATGCTAAAATATTTACAATATTATTAAAAGTGTCACTCAGACAGTGAATCACAGTGTAATTATTAACTAAAATATTTACAATTAGAGTAGATTCTTTATTTACACTATCAACAACAACTTCTTCTTCATAAAATAATGATTTTTTAACTGGAAAAGATCTATACCTTTTCATAACAATAATAGCTCGAGGTTTTACTCTACAACTTTTTGGCATTCTTGTTAAATTAAATAAAATTAATCTAAGTTTGTTTTTGTCTCTTAATCTCGCTGACTTTTGCTTAGCTGAACAAGAAGTATAATAGAATGAAGCATCCTAATCCAAGTTAGGCATTTTACATAAACCTTTTTTTTTTTTTAAAATACGACAAAAAAATTACAGTTTCGATATAACGAAACATCAACTCATCATTAAAAAAACTAAAATTTTTGCACTTTAGAATGATTTTTATGAAAAACAAATTACATAAATGAAATCTATGGTAATTTTATGTCTAAAAACGGTCATACTAAATTTTTGTTTTTTTGATAATTTTAGAGGGAGTTTCCCCCTTAAACAAGTTTTAAATGCCTTTAACTAAAAATTTAGAATTCTAATAAGTTTTTTCTTTAAAATGAATAGATATTTATAGATAGGATGTTAGATATTTTTGCTTCTAAACATTTTTTTTTTTTTTGAATTTCCTATTTAATTTACAAAGGTCATTCCTTTTCAAAAACAAGACTTTTTAATCATGCCATTATGCATTTCATTCTAATTTCATTCAATTTAAATATTAAAATTAAATTTTTTCATATAAGTGGCATTCTTGGGTAAGCTAAGTTCAGAAACCATGATAACCGTGAATATATTGTACTTAAGGGTTTTGTAAATAAGCATAAATCATTAAACAAAAATAAAAACATCTGACAGATGAAGTAGTCTAGATGTATATCCTCTTTACTTAATCAGTGATATATGTTGTATAACATTCTTTTAGCTTCCTCAATACTAATAATATTATTATTTTCTACTGAATTATAGATGCCAGAATTATCAGCTTATTAAAAGTTGTGTATATCATTAGCATATTAAATATGATGATGCTGATATCCATAACCCAGCGAAATTTTCTAAAATAATAAATTATTAGTATTGAGATACCTAATGTTTCAAAGTAGTATATATATATATATATATATATATATATATATATATATATATATATATATATATATATACACACATACATATACACATTTGTGCAAGGTTATATGCCAGTACATAAAATAAATAGCAAATAATCATTCTATTTTATTCTAATTAATAAACAAAAATTCAATTTTAATAAAATAAAAACTATTTTTATAATCTTTTTTATATAATGAAATAAAACTATACCTTTGACTCACTAATACAAAATGTGTCACCCTAATACAAATTGCAAAAAAAAGCCTACTGACTAGTAGTTGTAATACTAGGGCATAAACATATAGTAAATATATATTTAAAACAAAAACATATCTATATATAAAATAATTTTTTGCTTTAACATTACTATTGCTAGAAGATTAATGCTTTTGCCTTTTGGTTGGATTGTAATTTATGTTGGGGTCTAAAACAAGTCAGAGGAATAGTTTTGCACTCTTATAGTGATATCTTTGGGAGTTTCACAAGGATGGTTTGCAATAAACAAACTGTAAATTAGCTTTACTACAAGGTTATGGCTCTTTTTGAATAACTAGATTTTTACTAGGTTTATAGAAAACTTTAGAGGTTTCTAGTACTTTGTTTAAATAGACAAGATTAAATTAAAAATTCAATGAAATCATAGGTCATTATTTTATGCTATGTATAAACAGAAATGTATTACCACTTCAGTATATAAGCTACTTATTTATATATAGCTATATTTATATATACTTATTTATTATGTAGTTATTTACTATATTTATATATATTTATTATAAAATAAGTTCAAAAAGTATCATTGAAATTGAAATGATAATTTAAAAAAATTATTTCAATATTATAATATGATACTTTCAAATTATAGTTGATATTTTCATTTATACATGATAATTTCAAAAAAAAATATTTTATTAAAAACTTCTTACAGAAACTTTTAATAAATTTTTTTTTTAGGTTAATTTGTGAATGTAATTAAAGTATAATGTGATAAAAAAATTATTTAAATATGCAAGGCTTGAATAAGTAAAGTTATAAAATAAACCCTTGATCTAAAAAATACTGATTACAAATATACACTAATAATAATCAAAAACACAACTCCTAGAAACAAACATGAAGTCTTAGTATAGTAATGACTGACACAACTGACAACAGAACTGCCCATTTCTTCAATGTCATTTATTTAAAATAACTTTGATCAGCAGAAACTATAATCAATTTAGATC